ACTGTTGGGTGGGCGTGGTCTTTCCGGGGGGGCGGAGTCCGCGGGCCGTGGCGGCGGCGGCGGCTGCAGCGGCGCCCCTCTGGGTGACTTGGCCGTGAGAAAGTGAAAGGAGCCCGCAGGCGGCGGCGACAGCTGCGCGGGGAGGGGCCTGTTTCCAGGCTGGAGACGAGCGCGTTTTGGGGGTGTGGAGTGAGTGAGTCCGCGTGCCCCGCGACGGCCATAAGTATACTTTTACACGGGGCAGGTGTCCCGGGGAGACCGAGCGCGCGGGGCCGCAGCTGGCCTGAGCCGGCCTGGGGCGGCTGGATCTGGCCCCCCCTGTGGTGCACTCTTGGATCGCGTCCGCGGGGACGCGCCGCCTCCGGCCTGCGGTGTCGGCCGCCAGGTGCACGGGGGCCGCTCGCTTCGAGCGGCTGCGAGAGGCGCCTTTTCCCAGCGTCCTCCCTGCAAGTTGCAGCTGCGTTTCTCTTCACGGTCCCCGAGTCCCGTCCGTACTCACGGTGACAGGCAAAGACATTGCCCCGAGAGCAATCTTGGAGCTTTCCAGTGAGATTGATACTTAGAGACGCTTTAGCCCGTTTCTTAATTGGTACTTAACGAGCCAGGGCTTTACCTCCCGGAGGGGGAGATGTTGTTTTGTGTGGCGCTTCCCTCCCTCCCTCCGGATAAACTTCCTCCGTCTGTAACCTGTTCTTTGTAGCTAACCTGTGTTGATCAAGGAGGAAATGTAGAAAGGTTTTGCTCTCAAGACAATGGAAGGCAAGAATAGCACACAAGTAAAGTTGGGTGATAAATGGGGAAAAGGATGATTCGAGACAAAACAGAAAACTGCATAGCGAGGAAGCCAACACACTAGTAATTGTCTAAATGAAATGTGTTTACTCTGTGCTAAGTGGACTCAAACTGGCAAGCCCTGTTGCTAACCAACTCGCCGGGACTCCTTGCAGCTGAGCAGAATCTGCTTTGTCTTTCTTCCACGTAAAGAAGTTGAAAGTAGTTGTGTGGACAAATCAGACATATTGAATTGTTAGTGAAGAAACATACACCTAGATACACAAAATTCCTACAACTTTGGTATGCTATTAGAAACGGCAATGGTTTCTACTCTTTCCTCCACCCTCCTACGTTCTCATGATGGATTTCAGGCGGGGTCACAACTGTTCCAGATCCCAACCCAGTCCGAATCTGTTTCAAGATAGATGAGTTTACAAGTGGTTTTTGATTTGGTTTGGGTTGGATTTTTGAGACAGAGTCTCTCTACTGTCCTGGAACTCTCTCTATAGATCAGCCTGGCCTCGAACTCAAAGAGAGCTGCCTGCTTCTGCCTCCCAAGCGCTGGGATCAAAGGCGTGTGCCACCACACCCGGCTACAAGTATTCTTGGTGAAATGAAACACACTTAAAAAAAAAAAACCACAAAAAGGAATATATGTGTTTCGTGGAGAATTCACCAGGTTTAAAGGGAAAAAAAAGACGTTTTTATTCATAAAGTCATTTCTCACCAATTAAAATTTAACAATAAGGGAATATGTAAAGTAACTGATAATGCCAGGATAGCAAACCATAAATTTATAAGAAAACTGGAACATTTGGATTAGCCACCAAAACTTCCACCCAGTTTTATGGTCCCCAGAGGAAATCACAGCTCTGACGGCGGGTTTCTAGAATGTACCTGCTAGTGGAGCTGATGGTTCCAGAGATAGACAGAAGATACTGGTGGGTCAAAAGTCATAAATATCTTTTGGTTTACTTGGGGCTGTGTTTTCTTCCAAGCTATAATTAGTATCCACTTTGAGAACTGAAAAGTATGTCCAGGAAATACAGACAAAATGGATATTTAAGGAAGCCAGTCTGTCACCCCTTATTGCTTTGACAGTCTTATCCAAGGTCTCTGGTACAATTGTATTTTCTCTGCCCCTTCCCCCTCTAGCTTCATTTAAATTGTCCTAAAAACTTATTTCGCAAATGGTACTTTCAATTCTGGTTGAAAAACATCAACAAACAAAGTAGATTGGCACCCGAGGTACCTCTACAGAAGGGCTACTGTTGGTATTCTGCATCCATCGGATCCATGAAAGATAGAGTCCCAAATAACTCCCTTGGTATGTTTCTGAAGCTGAGGTCTGCCTCACTCCTATACGACAGTCTAAACAAATTGACCATGAAACAGAGAGACTTGACAGAGTCCACTGTTTTAAACCTAACAGACTACTCCCAACACCCACCTCACACTGGAAGAACAAATAGGCAGAAAATCCCAACACTCATCTGTTGGAGAAAACATGCCATTGCTTTCTCTCTGGAGGAGTGGCATTGCGGCACAATTCTGATTCAAGCTTTTCTGGGAATTCTGATATTTAAAAAAAAGATACAAGAGACTTCTTGCTAGGGAACAAGTTTTAAGTTTTCATAACATGCATGTCAAACAGTAACAGTCTAACAGAATAAACATTGACAGATCAAATAAAAATTGATTTGATGAGCAGCTCCATAAAATGAGTGTCTGGGTTTTAGATGTGAATCACAAGTTAGAGCTTTGAAAAAAACATCTTTGATTTTACTGCTGGTAACATAATCATGTTGAAAGGTATAAAAGTAAAATTTAACCGTTGGATTCATAAGCTTATCGATTTCATGTATAGTTGGAATTTTTACTAAAAAAACTTAGAAGCAAACAGTAAAAGGTCACATAACCTAAGGTGTGTAACAACTGTTACAGGTATAAACGTATGGCTAGAATTCAACCTGATTATTTTATTTATTTATTTTAGATAAGCACTTCCTGTATTGCCTAGTACCATGTTTGGCTCTGGTTTTCATCTATAGCTCTGTAGAGAAAAGGCACACTAAAATAAAAAGTTTGTTCAAACTTCTGTTAAATTCACTGCTTTCCATACATAGCATGGGTAAGACTCTCTGAGCTTCCTGTTTCTTTTTGAGACAAATACCACTATGTAGCCCAGGCTGCTTGGAATTTGTAATCCTGCCTCAGCCTTCCAGGTGCTACAACACCCATCTCCTGCCCCACCCCCAACCCCTCTTGTGACTTAGGAGAAAGAGCAGGTTGGTTTGGTCTGAAGGGAGGACTGGGCACAGAAACAGAGCTGCAGCTAGGAGTTGGAAAAGTAAATGAGCTGCAAGCCACACCACAGTGGTGGACAGGGCGTATACTCCTTAATGGGTCTGTCTCTGTCTCTGTCTCTCTCTGTCTCTCTCTCTCTCTCTCTCTCTCTCTCTCTCTCTCTCTCTCGTGTGTGTGTGTGTGTGTGTGTGTGTGTGTGTGTGTGTTTCAGTGCAAACTACACTTGGTGCCAGTAAGGTGACTCACTGGGTAGAAGCACTGACTGCGTAAGCCTGAGGACGCTCCTTTTTTAAAAGCCTGATGGGTGGGTAGGGTGGAGAGTGTCTGTAGCTCCCTGTAACTCCGGAACTCCAATAGTGAGAGGCTAGAGAATCACCGGGCTTCAGGGCTAGCCTGCCTGGAGTTGGTGGTACAGCATCAAAAACAGGACAGACTTTACCTTAATCTGGAAGGTGATTACCCTACTCCTGAAAGTTGTTTTCTAACCTCCACATACATAGTATGGCATGCACTCACGTGCATTCACACACATACAAAATAAACAATGTTTCTGTTTAAAGTTAGGGTCTCACTATGTAGCCCTTACTAGTCTGGAACTTGCTGTATAAGACCAGGTTGGCCTTGAACTCACAGAGAACTTCTGCCTCTACCTCCTTAGTCCTGGGATTAAATATTGGCCATATTCAGCCAATAAAAAAATGTTTTGAAACACTTAAACACATGTGCACACATTTATGATTCTGTAGAGCACATAAACCAAATCATTTCCGAGGCTATGGCATATGTGGTTAGGAAGCTACACATTAAAGTCTTGAACTGATTGCCCAGCATTGGAGACAATTCCTTTAGATTGTCAGCCCCAAAGCCAGAAACAACAAGAGAAACTCTTGGGGAAAGATCCTTGCACGGAGTGTAAGGGCAGTGGGGTCACCTCTGTTCTGAGAGCAGAGTGGGAACCACACCCAGAACAGCTGGGGGGTGAGGGCGAGCGAAGCAAGCAATGCCATCTTCCCAGATGGCTTTCCTGGAGTTCTCAGCTGCCTACTGTGAACTGGCACGCTGACGGTGCGGTGACTGAAGGGGGCCTATAGTTTAGACTTGCTTGGGACCAGGACTCCTTGCTTCAGAGACTTCAGGAAGAAAGCAAATTTCGGTAGCTTTTTAGCCCACAATCCTTGTCTCAGTTTCTTTTCTCTTTCATAAATTATTTTATGCCTTGTGTGCATACAGTGGGGCTTTAATAGTCAGCCTTGTTCTTGCTTCATCGTCTCCATCGATTGCTTTATATACCATACGAGGCCACCTCCCCCCCCACATGCCCACAGCCCTCCCAGTTACACTGGCGATGGCACTCAGGGACTTATATATGCTAGGCAAGCGCTGTGGCACCCACTGGCATCCCTAACTCTACCCCAAGTTGGATTTCTTCTTTACTAAACAAAAAATTTGCCTACCATTTCTTAATGGGAGTGCAATAACTTAGCATTTATTTCAAC